TTATCTCCAAGTCAATTTAGATAACAAAGCACATGGATCATCGGTCAAAATATCTTGGTGCAAATAAGGATAATGGCAGCAAAAGATTTGAGTGACTTCAAGATCATGTAGAGTAGAATGTGGAAAGCCAGTTGTGCTTCAAAACAATTAAGTCCAGATTTGACCAAGACAGAAATAAACCAACGTAAATAGTTGAGGGGTCTGGAGTACGGCGGGGTAGACATTAGAAAGTTAGGGCAGATATGGGTTTTTGTTCATGAAGGCCAAAATCTTCATGGAGATGGAAGGCCTCTAGCCCTTAGCTAAAATGTTGCTGGAATTCTGAACATGGAATCCAGCCCTGTGTGCCAGGTTTCATCGAGACCGTGAGTCCCTTGAGTCCACTCTGGCTCAACTCTAAGTGTCATGATAACGTAAAAGGAATTTCTTCAACTTGGCCTGTGAGCTAAGAATGTGTTTTGTGTATGTGTGTCTGCGGAGTGGCTTTTAATTTGAAAATGATTCCTTTAAAAATAACCAGCAGCAAGGCTTTAGTTTTCAACAAGAGGGAAGTTAGCCTATTGCCAAACTGTTGCTGTAATTTTTTATGTAATTAATAAGGTTATTATCTCAAAATATACATATAAGGATTAAAAGAAGCTAAGAATAACTATTCTTAGTTAGTCTAAGGATAGCTTCTGAGGAAGGGTCACTACACCTATAAAGACAAAAATGAGATCAGCCTCTAAAACTGCAGGCCCATTGCTCTTGAACTTTCTCTTTCCAAAATGAAGAGGCTGGAATTTAAAGTCAGCTTTGACAGCAGTGTTAGTATCTTATGTCAAATAGTCAAGTTTATTATTCTATCCAGGTAGATTTAATAAATAAGTAGGTTTTGGGAGAAGGCGAAGATTTCTTGTACCTTGCTAATTATATGACTATGTAAATCTTTCAATAGAACAGCACTGGATGTCTGAATGTTTTGCTCTCTTTGTCTTCCTTAGCCAACCCTCACTTCTCCAATCTATCACCAATAAGTAAAGGTTCTCATGCCTTGAACCATTCTTATAAACCTCTTCTACACTTGCTTCAACGCATCCACATTCTTGAGAAAGTGGGGGCATAATGAGAATTATTATAGCAGCACGCTATTCCAATCTATAATGCTCCCTCTGAAAGGGTAGTGGTAGCATTTTCAATGATAACTTTCAACTGAGAAATATATGAAAAAGACAGAAGATATAACTTGACATTCCTCTTGTCACTTTCATGACTTGAGGATGTCTAATATTTGAATGATTAAAAAATCTCAGTTTTGAAACTTCAGAGAAAATGGTCTCTTTTTACAAGACCATAAGGCCATAAGAAATAGGGACAGGAGTAGATCACTTGGCTTCTTGTGTCTTGTCTGCCATTCGAAAGCATGGTGGCTGATCTGATGTTCTACACGTCCACTGACTTGCATTTTTCCCGTAACCGTTGATTCCTGTACTGATCAATAATCCATCTATCTCAGCATTAAGCATACAGAAGGACTCGTCCCAACAGCTCCCTGTGGCAAGGAGTTCTAAAGACTCACAACTCTCTATGAAAAAAAAATTCCCCTCATCTCAGTCTTAAATTGGTGTTTCTTTATTCTGAGACTATATTCTTCTAATAAGTCTCAATGAGATCATTTCTCATTTTTCTAAACTCCAATGAGTAGAGTCCCAACTGTTTAGTCTTTGCTTATAAGGCAATCCCTGTATATAGGGGATCATCCTAGTGAACCTTCTCAGAACTGCTGCCTCCAATGAAATGATATATTTCCTTAAAAAAAGGGACCAAAACTGGTCACAGTTATTACCTCTATTAACAATCAATGACCTTAAACACTTAATTTAAATCATGTATTGATTGTCAATGCCCAAGAAAATGCTGGTCTGTGCCGCTTATCCTTATAGTTTTAACTCTTTGAGACACAGTTTCACAAGATATAGTTGAGAAAATGGCTCAGTATGGAGAGATCAGACAGAATTACACTGAAGTGTGTAGCAAAGTGAGACAGACTCTGATAAATGTATGTGAACATATGTACATATAATCAAGGGTTACTTAGGACGTGGAATGGAGTTGGGGGCAAACAGTGGGTGACATTATGTTTCAGATGTTAACATTCAATAGACAATGGCCTCAGATTATCTGTGGTAACCTGCATAATATAAAGATGGGAAGAAATAGCTTGACACAATCTGATTTGTTGCCTTTTAGAGTTTTTTTGCTTATGTTTGCTGTTTCCTGGAACAATAATTCAAAGCTTGAAAGAGAAATGTTGAATATGTAACAGCACAACTTCATATTTACCTATAAATAGCTTGAACATTTTACATCGCAAAGACAAGTCATTGTGGGCTTGAAACATTAAGTCAGTTTCTCGTTCAATAGACGCTGCTAGATGCACTGAGTTTCTCCATCTCTTTCAATTTTCATGTCAGATCTCCAGCATCCACTCTAGTTTGCTTTTATCACCACTATCTGTATCAGTTTTAGATAAGCCATATGCGATTCCATGCACTTTGATGAAATGCCAGTAACTGGATTCTGAAAAAGACCCTTTCAACTGATGAAAGTGCCTCAGATACAGAACTTGCATTTATGCAGCACATTCTATGGCCACAGGATGTCTCTTTGCAGCCATGAAGCATATTTGTTGTGAGTGCAGTCATTGTTTGCAATGCAGGGAGTATGGAAGACAATTCATCCCATCAATATTGCATAAACAGTAACGACCAGATAACCTGATTTAGTAGAGGTGTTTCAGGAAGGAAGATTTGCCAGTACTCCAAGGGGAATAACCCCACTCTTCTTTGAAATAGGAACTTCTATGTTCATCTGAGAGGGCACGTGGGCCCAGCTTATTGTTTCATCAACAAGGCTTGCACATTTGTCTATAATATCTGCATGTTGAAAACAAAATGCTATGAGGTAAATATGGGAGCAAACAGTTATTTCATCAATGATCTTCTCTTCATCATAAGATCAGAAGTGGGGAAGTTGGCTATTTATTGCAAAATGTCCAGCATTCGTGAGTCCTGAAATAGCCCAGGCCCAAATGCAGTAAGGCCTGGGCATTATCTAGGTTTGGATTGACAGGTGGTAAGTGACAATTGTGCTGGATAAGTGCCAGGCAATGACCATCTCCAATAAGAGGGACAAAAACAAAGTTGCTGGAAAAGCTCAGCAGGTCTGGCAGCATCTGTGGAGGAGAAAACAGAGTTAACGTTTTGGGTCCGGTGACCCTTCCTCAGAACTGATGGTGGCTGGGAAAACGTCAGTTAAAATGCACAAAATAGGGAGGTGGGTGAGGTAGGGACTCTATATTGGGGAAATGAAG